TGTCGTATGTATATACTGTCGTATAAATATCGACGTCATTTGAACGTTTCACGTTTTTAACGAAAAATTTATTTAAAAAACAAAAGAAACAACAACGAGTGTGAGAGCCAAACTTCCCATTAATATATAAATAGTTTTTTATATTCTTTTTCATTTTTCCAATCTCGTGACACGTTTTCTGCCACGTTTTATTCGTTTTAACGCATAACAATTCGTCCGTTTCGTCGTAGAAACGTTTTTCGACAATTAAAAATTCGTACAAATCTTTAAATTCCCGCGTAAAACAATCGCAAGACCACGGATTTCGCATCAACCATAAATTTTTCAAACTGATCAAATCGTTAAAAGTCCTGTAATCTAATATTTTCAATTTATTTTCAATTAAATTTATTTCCCGTAAGTTATAACAATTATCGAAAGATTCAAAATGGACGAATTCGATATGATTATAACTCAAATCGATGTAATCGATCGATTTCGATTCCATTCTTCTCACCGTTTGAATATTATTAAACGATAAATTAATAATTTTCAATTTGGGTGCTCTCTCGTTTAAATTCATATCGATATCGTCGTTAATTTTATTTTTCGATAAATTTAAAAGAATGCAATTTTTCAAAACGAGACCGTTAAGTGTCGTTATTTGATTTTTTGATAAATTTAAATTTATTGTTTGTTTTAAATGATACGTAAATAATAAACCGTTTATTTTATTCGAAGACAAATCCACTATTTTTAAATTTTTGTTATTTAAAAACGCGCTCTCATCAACATCCGTTATTTTATTCGATGATAAATTAAGAAAATTTAAATCCACGTTATTGCTAAACGTATTCGATTCGATGTTTTCGATTTGATTTGAGGACGCATTTAATATTTTCAAATTGCAAAAAATATTAAAATCCTTTAAATAATTCGATTCCGAATTCGAAACGTCTAAATTAATTACGTTCCAACAATAATTTTCCAACATCATCATTTTTATATTTTTATTATGCGATACGTTTAATATTCTCAAACCCGGCATGTTGAAAGCGTCCATTTTGTTCAGCGCCTCCATGTTTAAATACGAAGCATCCAAATTTTGCAATGAATGAGAACGAACGGAATTTTTCAAAGATTTTATCGGATTGTGTGAAATATCCAAATATTCGATTTTGGGTAAATCCGCGAGAAAATCATCGTTTAAATAAGACAAGTAACAATAACTCAAATTTAATATTTTTAAATTGTCGCTTTTCAAACCGGAAACTCCGTGCAATTTAGAATTGTGCGACAAATTTAAATCGTGTAAATTTTTTAATTTATGAATTTGAATTGCATTTAAATAAACAATGGAATTATGAGATAAATCGATTGAGTGTAAATTATCATAAGATCCACCACCGAAACTCACTTCCGTTATTTTATTATTCGATAAATCGATTTTTTCAACGGATTTTAAATATTTCCAATGACTATATGATTTTATATCGTTGTGTGATAAATCTAGAACCGTTACCTGGAACAAATAAACGATTGACCGTTTTTTAAAACGAAAAAAATAAATAAATAAACGAAGCGTTAACAACAAACATATATTCGTTTAGAATATGAATTAGTTTTTTTTTTTTATTTACAAATACTTCCAACCATTTTTTTTTTTTTTCACCTGTTGTTTGTAAGCGTGAAATAAAATTATTTAAATTGTTTTTTTTTTTTTTTTCCTTTTCGGGTGTAAATAAAAAAAAAGTGACTCTTGAACTTGAATAATATTAATAATAATATAAATTTTTATCATTTCAGGTTTTTGAAATTTTTACCTGTGGATTTATTCCATGCGGAACTTTTGTTTTTTCACTTCCAGAACAATTAACATTAACCGTGTAATCGGCATACGATAAACAAATGCATTTATCCGGACAAAATGTCGTCGCCATATTTAAATTATTAATTATATTAATAAATAATACGAATAAACCAATCATTTTTTTCCTATTATTATTATTACTATTACAATTATTTAAAATTTATTTTTAATCTCCTGAAAATTAAATAAATTATTAAATTTTTATTTATAATTAAATTGAAATTTTTTTTTTATTTGTTACACTTACACTCTATTTATAATTGTTGTCCTCGTTTTCGTTGTTGTTGTTGTGGTTGTTGCACGTCCATACTTATCATAATTAACAAAATACTTTTATTTCAAATATAAATATAGTATTCACTAGTTCCTTTTAATAATAATAAATAATATTTATTATAAAACGAAAATATTTTATTTATTATTTATTCGAGCCATTAATCCCTCGATTGATTGATTTAAATTTATTAATAAATAAAATTTTAATTATTTTTTTCATTTTTCATTTTTTTTTTTTACCTTCCTAAACGAATAAAACTAAAATTAAATAACGAACCCAATTAATAACAATAATAATAATAATTTGTTTAAAAAAAAAAAAAACGACTCAAAATCAAAAATTTATCTTATCTAATCGATGCCATTATCAAAAAAATAAAAAATATAAATATAAATTTATTTATTTATTTATTTTTATTGGTCCTCCGTAATTTAAAAATAATAATAATAATGATGGTGATAAAAACGATCTTTTAAATGGATTTCGTCTGCTGTTTTTATTATTTTTTGAAAATTTTCTAGAATCTGTAAGAAAGAAAAAAAAAAAATTTCGTTTAAAACACGATAAAAATTAATTAAAAAAAAAAATATAAACATAATAGAAAACTATTCAATTTTTTTTTTATTGTTTATTCTTTGTAAATAATAATAATAATAATAACGAATTTTTTTTTTACAATAAAATAACAAAAAAAAAAAAAAGAAATTTTTTTTTTTTTACACACGAAGACGTTTACACGTTTAACACTCATTGATTGATTTATTGGTCGTTAACATTAAAAAAAAAAAAAATTTGTTTTAAAAATAATAATAATAAAAAAAAAGAAAGAAATAATAATAATAATAATAATAGTAGTAGTAAAAAACCTGGAAGGAAACAATAATTTTTTTTTTTTCTACCATGTCCCTTCTTTTTTTTTTTTTTTTTTTTTTTTATTATAAATAAATAAAATGACAGTGATGGTCAATGTTATGTGGTGGTAGTGTACCACACTAGTTTTCCCCTCCACTTCTTCATTTTCTTCGCTTTTATTCGCATTTATTTTTTTTTAAATTAAATTGTTTAAATTGTACGTAAGGTAAATATAAACGTAATAGTTTCCATACGTATTCAAATGTTAATAGTTTCTTCTTCGGTGTGGTTGTTGTTGTTGTTGTTGGTTTGATTCTTCAGTTTGTTTAGTTAACTAAATGTAATGACATAGTTTGAATTGTGGTGTCGGTGGTTGAAATTTTAATTTTTTCGTTTTTTTCAACACATTAAATATATATTTTTATTTATTTATAAAATTCGACTGTTTTATTATTATTATTATTATTACAAATTTTTAAATTTTTGAACTGGTATGATTAGTTTACTTAGAGGAAAATTAAAACAAACATGAGGAAATGGTCTTCTGTGACATTTTTAATCTATACATTTATTACGATTCACGTAAAAGGTAAATATTATTATTATTATTATTATTATTATACATAAGTTCATTGAGCGTTATTACCCGTTGGAAATTTTTTTATTTAAAAAAAAAATGAATAACTTACCCATTATTATTTTCATATCCGGTTCAATTTATGTACATAATTTGATTGATAATGATTGTTATCGATAACATTTAAATTTAATGCGTTCGATTTTAGTGATGATTTATCAAATGTTGTCATTTGTCTCCAGTTCCAGAACACCACATTGTCAATATGAGTTTCTGGAACGTAATAAAAATAATAATAAAAAAAAATGGCGGGAACAATAAATTCCAGTCAAATAAAATTTTTTTTTATTTTTAATTCGAAAACAATATTTTCTTTTTGATTTTGGCGGGTGATTTACTTTACCGGAAATGGATCACCTTTTATTATTTGATGAGTAATTTTTCCATACATTCCAGTTTTTTTAACTGGAACGTATTTAATGGTAAAACACATTTTAGAGCGTTAAGAAGGGATTTATGTTTGTTTTTAAAAGCTTTCACTTTTTTTTTGTTGTAAGTAACGGACGATGGAATGACACGTTAAAAAAAAAAGGTATTTAAATTAAATATACCTTCTTTTAATTTTGACAGGTATAGTTTGTAACTGACAGTAATTTACTTTTTAATGTTTTCAATGCAATGTCAGAATTATTACTCAGTAATTTAAATGTTTAAGTTACGTTCTCGTGAATTGTTAATTGTTTGTTGTTTAGAAAAAAGTTTTTTTTTTTTTAAAACTTTTTCCCAAAACAATTTTTTTTTATTTATTTTTTACAAACATTTGTAACGTAAAACTTTTTATTATTTTATGAATGATATTTAATTACTCGTACGTATGCTTAAAGTCAAAATTTTTTTATTTTCAACGATAACATTTATGTAAATAAAATTTTGACTTCTCGACTCATAATATTTCACGTTGTGATAACAATAATAATTATTATTATGAGTATAAGGCAAAATTTTTTTTATTTACCCGAGTAATTTTGTAATCCGTTTTAATTCTACTCTTTTACATGGTGATTATAAAATTTCTTATAAAATTTGAAACGAAAATGATTAGATTAGTACTTATGGAGGGTAGTTTTTTAATTTTTATTATGTTATTCAATGCTTTGTGATGATGTTAAAAATCTTTTCCTAGCTGAAACCACTTCTCAGTTATTATTATTATCATTCTTGTATTAATTTTTATATTATATACTTTTCTTATACAATTTCATTTCGTCCAAATTCTTAAAAATGCTGGAATTCCTGGAAGTTTTTTAAGAAAAAAAAATTTATTTGTTAGGAAAAGCGCAATTTTCCATTTTTCCACAACCTTATCGAGTGTACCCCTACTAATTTTCCACGTTTTCTTATTTTTCCTGATTAATCGACTTGTACTTCCAGATGAATCTATCCAAGAATAAAACAAATTTTTTTTTAAAAAGTTTTACGATGGGGGGAAAAAAAACATGAATTTACAAAATTAATAGTTAAAAAAAAAAAAAAAAAACCCATGCCGTGAATTCCCCCCATGAGTAAATGATGTCAAAATGGGAGGGGAGTATGGAAATGACCCCCGAGAGAGAGAGAGAGAGGGAGGGAGACAAAATAACCCAATCAAAATTTATATTTTAATTAACCATATATTACAAACATCGACTAAAATTTATGTTTAAAAAGCTTGAATATATTATAAAAATATACACGACTCGAAAATTTTATTAACTTATTTATGAAAGAAGGGAAGAGAAGAGAGAGAGAGAATAAAATCACATGAGAGAATCTTAATAAAAATCAAAAAAAAAACCCATGTTTGTTTTTTTTTTATATTTAATATAAATAATAATTTTTACGACCGAGTTTTTTTTTTAAAAATATGATTGATTTATTCAATTTTTTTTTAATAATTTTAAATGAATAATAAAAAAAGAAAAAAATTTTACGTGATTTTTTTTCCTTTTATTAACTTGTTAAATAAATAATTTATTTAAAGAATGATTTTTTGCCTTAAATCCATAATTAATGATAATATAATCTTACCGAGAGGAGTAAAATATTCATAAAATTTTATTTTTATACATTTCTTATATATTCTTTTCCGTTACGACAGGTTTCATTTTTTTTTTTTTTTTAATGCCATTTATGAATTTACTACGGGGCATTTACTATAATAAATTTTCTTTTAAATATTTAATTGTTATATTGAATATCTATCATCATCATTTTTTTTTCGATCGATCGATCTATCGTACCTGTAAGAAATTACAAAATTTTACATTTTTTTTTTTTTTACTCTCTTCTTCCCTTTTCGTGAACTCTTGACCTTTGTGTTAAAAAAATCTTTATAGGCAAACATTAATTATTTGTTCAGTAACTGTATAATTTCCGTGCGAATTTTTTTTTTTTTTTGGCAAAAAATTTAAAAGGAATTTAAACAAATTTTTGTTTTTCGTTAAAATTAAAAAACAATCAAAATTTTTCTTTTTCGTTAAATCGATGGCAATTTCTCCTAATTCTTTTTGATTAAAAATCAATTTTAAAATAAAAATTAAATATTATTAATGATTGATTGTGGAAATGAATGAATGAATGATTGAATGAATGAAAAAACAAAAAACAATAAAAACAATTATTTACACGTCAGGAATTTATTCTTTCTCTCTCTCTCTCTCTTTCTTCGTATTTTAAATAAATTTATATTTTATTAACACGTCTACATCCGTTATAGAAAGGAATAGAAGAATAAACAGAAAGATTGAAGGAGGAGAAGGGGAAGGGAAGGGAAAAAACAGTTGAAATAAAATCCATTAAGACTGTGAATTTTTAATACATAAAGAATAAACAATTTAATTTTTTTTTATAATCGTTTTTTTAAAATCAATGCAAAACATGGTCGTCGTGATTGATTTATTATTAATAACTTAAAATATTTACTTAATGGTAGTTAAAAAAAAGGCACAAGGAAAAAAAAAGGCAAAAGAGAGTTGAAATTAAAAAAAAAAAAAATGAAACAATGATACAAGTGACAGGAAAATGACATTTTGTATTACTACCACCACCACCACTACCATCCCCATCACCATTACCACCACCATTTACTCATAAGTTTTCGAAAAAAAAAAAAACAAAACTTTTTTTCAGGGTCAGACCTTGACAAAAAAAATATTTCTAAAGGTTCAAACAACGAAATCTTAAAAAAAAATTGTTATTTTGAATCGAGAAAGAAAGAAAGAAAGAAAGACAAAAAACAGACAGTGACATTGTAAATGTTGAAGGGAAAAAAAAATAAAAAAAGTTAACCCTCTTTCCCCTTTCCCCTCGTCAACCCCCTGCTAAGATTGTCTCCTTATAAAACAAAGTCATTTTTAACATAAAATTATAGACGTTTTACTGTTGACATTTCTACAAAATGTTTGCCCGTAGGGGAAAGAAAGAAAAAAGAAACCTTTAAAAATATTATTATTATTATTATTATTATGAAAACAATTTACATTAACAACAAATCACACCTATCGTGGCACATAACCTACCACCAATCCCTACCCTCCTTTCCTCTTTCCACCCTCTACCACTCATTTAATATTTACATAGTTAAGAGGGTGTAAATCTTTAAGATTGACACATTTTTAATTTATTACTTTTTTTTTATCTTGTCAGATTTTTTTTCTCTCTCTTAACTATTCGTTAGTATTATTATTATTATTATTATTTTTAATGCGATCATTGTTTGTTTTTGGTTTGTTTCCCCCTCCCTCCCCCCTCTCCTTTTCGATACTATAATTTTCTATGGATGGAGGAAAAAAAAAAAAACAACGACGACGGTGGTTTGATACTCGTTCAGATTTTCAAATAATAATAATAATAATAATAATTATAATACATAATAATACGTTGTATATTATATCGAACAGTAGATTTTTTAACGGGTTTTTTTAATAATCGGATTGTGATTCGATTGTTCTGGGTGGTCTTTACAATTCAATCCAGAATGTTTATTATTACGTTTTTAATTTTTATATAAAAAAAAAACCGTACCTGGATTCGATGCATGACAAAAAATTTTGCCCCCCAAACAAAACGTTTTAAAAAAAAAATTATTACATAAGACGAACATTAAAAATTGATGATGATGATAATAATAAAATTAAGTTTTCAAAAGTTTTTGTTGAACGCGGCGTATTTTCAACGTGTTCGCATATCATGGATTTTTTCTTTTTTTTCTTCTTACCCCGAAATGTAACATGGAGGATTTATTATTATTATTATTATTATTATTAACGATTTAAATCTATTTAATGTCTTGTTTTAATAACGTTTCGAACTAATTTTTTTTTTTTTTTGAATCAATTGCTACGGTCATGTTTGTGTATAAAAATTGTAATAAGTAACAATTTAAATTTTTTGATTTTTACTACTCACGTTTATCATTAAGAATATATGTATAGAAATTTTTATGGTTTATTGACTTAAACAACCAAAACCACGTTTTCAAAAAAAAAAAAAATTCTCGTTAAAAAGAAAAAATAAAGTGGAAGAAGATGGAGGAGGAAGTGGAAGTGGAAGAAGAAGAAGAAGAAGAAAAAATTTAACAATTTAAATTAAATAAAAGACGTTAAAACAAATATTAAAAGGGATTGTGATTATGTATGTATGTATAAAAAAAAATTGTTGTCATTTAAAACCTTTGGGTCTGTTTGAGTATTTCCGGTTGGTACCACGTATTAACTCTAACCTTTATTCCATGTAACATTTCAAGGTTACAATATATATATACAGTTTTCTTTATAAATTCAAGTGCTAATCACCTCTTCAAACTATTTTAAAAGACTCAAGTCACGAATATTTTTTTTAAAAAAAATTTATTTTCATTTCGTTAACCGTAAACTTTTTTTTTGTAGTTTCGATTGGAAACGAAGAAAAACTTTTTAGTAACTTACTTTTTGAAGAAAGAGTAGATGTGGCACAATGCGAACAAATGCAAATGGAAGTATCAGCCATGGATTCTGCTACGACAATTGATCAAGTACCACAAATCGAGGGTCACTGGACATCCCAAGAGTAAGAAAAACTTTTTTTTTTTTTCCACGTAATAATAATAATAATAAACCTGTAAGAGAAACAAAAATAAGTTAAAGGAAAAAGTTATAGAAACAAATCAGAAAAAAAAAAAAATTTAATTTAATTTTTCACGAATGAATGATAATCTTTGTTAAAAAATTTTCACGGGTGCCTTACGGGTGCGATTTACCTGAATAACGCCTTTTCAGGTTTTAAATTTTATTTTTTTTTTGTCACACACATTTAAATTGAATTTCATTGTTCTTTTATTATTATTATTATTATTATTCTCTTTTGACAAAAAAAAATTTTCTTTTTGAAGTTCAAACAGGTGTTGTTAAAATTTTTCTTTTAGACTATGTCAAAAATTGATGATATACGTGATCATATTAATGGTTTTTTTTTTTTTTTTTTTAAATTTTTGCAAACCTTTTTTCACCTGTCAAACCTAACAACTGACAAACAATTGTTTCTAAAATAATAATAATAATAATAATAGGAACAATACAAAAAAAAAAAAAAAAACTATACAATCTTTTATATGTATTTTATTTTTAATGAAAATTATTAATTTTATTTTCTACCATTCGAATAATAATAATAAACTTGAACTCTATTTTCTCGTTGTATTATTATTATTATTAATTTTTTTTTGTAAATTTATTTTAATTGTTTTTTAATAATAGAAACATCGTAACCGTAATTTTTTATACGTAAAATTTTATGCGTACCTGAGTTATTTGTAATTAACCATCCTAATAATTATTTACTACAAAAAATTTTTCTTCTTCTTTTTCTTATTTCCCCTTAATAATTACGTTCAATAAATAAATAACCCATTGCTAATAGCCTGAAGGTATTATTATATTATTCGTACACAAAGAAGAAAAAATTTTCTTTTTTTTTTAAACGTAATTTGATGATTAAGCTAAGTTTACTTCCGGTTTGTGTAATATTTTGGTACAAACATTGTCGGTGTGATGATTTACTAAATCTCATGTTTTTCACCCAAAAAAAATTATAAAATTGCATAATCGATTATTATTATTATTATTTCTTTACCCTTTTTATCACTTAATAAAATAAATAATAATAATAATAATTTTTTTTTATTACCGTAACTAAAAAAATAAATGAATAAATGAACTGTAAAACCGGGTGCTGGAATATACTAAGTTGGTTGCGTGAAGAATAATAATAATTAACTTGACAAGTGATGTGTTAATCTTAAAAAAAAAAAAAAATGACAGCAAACACAATTTACTTGTTGTTGTAGATTATTACCTGTTGAAAAAAAAAAAGATCAAAAATTTATTATCACCTTTATCATTATCATTATTATTTTTTTATTACTTATTGCGTTATTTAATTACGCTTCGATTTTTTTGTTTTTGTTTTGATTTTTTTTTTCATTGTAATTTAATAATTTCGACGAATTATTATTATTATTTTTTTTTTATGCGATTGTTGAGTTATATCTAAGTAAATTACAAATTTTTAAAATTTTACGATGTAGGTATTTCAGGTAACTTTTTTCCGAATAACGACGACGACGAAAAAAATAAAATAGAGAAGTCATGAAAAATTTTTTTTTTAGAATAATTCTTTATAGCTGAAGGGCAAAAAAACAAAACAACCTTAAATTTTAAAAGCACGAAATTAAGTAAAAAGAGTTAAATATGCTCAATCAACCGTACAGCAGGTATCTGACCCATTATTATTATTATTTTTTTTTATTTAACAGAAACAAATACCTGAGTTTTAAAAAAAAAAAATTGTTTTTTTTTTTTTTTTAAATTTAATTGATTTTAAACTTAAAAATTTGTTATTACAAATTATTTTGTTATTAAAAATTTATTATTATTAACTAACTTACTAAAATAAATATTATCCATAAAAGTCGAAATAAAAAAATGGCGGGATTTTATGTAGAAATCGAAAATTCTGGATAAATTTTTTTTTTTTTTTCTTAGAATAATTTTCGATCGTTTGAGTTAGTTATTCCCTCTTATTATCCAGTCACGTATCAATAAAAAAAATTTCGCTTTTAGCAAATCATTAGTTTTTTTAAGGTTATAAAAAATTTTTAGAAAGGTAACTACGTGACAAAAATTGAACCGGATATTCACCTGCAATCAATTTTAAAAAGTCAAATCTCTAAAAAAAAAAAAGATAAACAATAATAATTATTATTATTATATTTTTTTACGATCGAATAAAAGATTTGATCGTCTGTAAGGTAAAAATAATAATACTAACCATCTAGAAAAAATAAACAAACTAAAATAAGATGATTCGAAGACGAGATTTTTTTTTGAAGGTTTTTTTTTAAATGTTCATCTCTTAGGTAGCTGTTAACCATTGTTTGGACCCAAAAAACTAGTGGCTCTGCACAAAATTTGTCTTCATCAATCTTTCATTTAAAAAAAAAATATTGTAAAGGGATTCATTGAATGCATTTACTTGTCCCTTTTATTATTATTATTATTTTTGTTCGTTCTCATTCGAGTTTTGTTTTTTTTTTTAAATTGTATTCCACCAGTCAACGAATTCACTTTTCTATTTTATATATATAATAAATAATTTTTTTTTTATTGAAATGTTAAAACGAAGTTTGAAAAGAGTTAAAACATTAAAAAATTGAAACCGGAAGTATAAAAAATAATTTCGAGTGACAAATCGGAATACCTTGCTTGCACCTGTAGGTTTAAGATTGTTTATTTTTCTAATTTTTTTGTTAGACGATTTAGTATGAAAAATACTTGCAAATGTTGAAATGCGTACCTGAAATTATATAATTCGATTTAGATTAAAAATGATGCAAAGTTAATAAAAAATTGTTTATAAATATTAATAAATTTTAATTTAATTATCAAATTTATTATTGTTCTCCAGGTGTGAAATAAGGCCCGGACCAGAATTTCTATTGCGAAATTATATTTTTTGGAAAAATAATACCTTTCGATTACTCCAGCATTATTACGAAGATGAATCCTGTATGATACCATTGTATACAGTAATCGCAAAAGGGGTTTTAACACCAAAAGAATCCTCTTGGGTGATACCGAGTGGTATCGATTATGATTATTCACTAACAAAAGTCACTGTTATACCACATACAACTCAGGTATGATGGCTTAATGATGTATATTTTTTAAAAAATCTATTGAATTTTATTATTATTATTATAATGATTAATTTTATTACGTTGAATAGGCGTCAGAAAAGTTATCGATTGAAAAAAAACACAAGTGTTCTCACTCGGGAATTAAAAAATCATATTTAAATACACCATGGAAACCTCATTTAGAATATACACTTTATAATAAACACGAAGAAGAATCTAAGAGCAGTCATCATCATCATCATCATCATAAAAAAAAATCTGTTAGATTTAAAAGGAAAAAAGGTCACAAATCATTTAGTAGTTGTTTATCAGCCATGGGTTTTCATTTTAACGAATTAATGCTTATAAGAAGTCAATGGGCAAGTGTTGAAGGAAATAAAAGAAACAGAGAACTCCTCCTTGGTGATATACATTCAAGAAAACAACAAGATTATAAACCAACAGCTTTTCAAGTTCCACTCCTTGATTTAGAAAATGTAAATTGACACTTTTTCTTTCGTTTATAACCTTGGGGGGGGGGGAAATAATCAAAATAATCAATCGATTTTTTTGTTTTTGTTGTTTTAGGCCAACGATTGTGTTAATTGTCAAATAATAGCAGAAGGAACGGAAAGAACTCCTCCTATGCTACCATCAAAACCTCACCTTTTACCATTACCTCATGGACAATGGGTCAGTCGAAGATGTGAAGTTAGACCCATGGGAATGTTTCTTGCAAGAAGATTAAGTTTCGATTCACGTGATAGAACTTGGATGTCCGAATATAAATATTTTTCAGATCCATTTTGTACGGAATCTGTTTTTGCCGTTTATTCTTCAGGAAGATATAAAATAGGTTTGTTTTTCCTTTCTTTTTCTTTTCATTTCAATTCAGATCAGATTTCAGAAAAATAAAAATTATACAACATTATAAAAAACTTTTCTTTAAAATTTCAAAAACAAGAAAAAAAAGAAGAATTGTTGTTGTTGTTGTTGTTTTTTTTTTTTTTTGTTAAACTACAAAATTATATTGAATAATTTTTGGATGTTTTGTGGTTGTAGTCAACTATTATTACATATATATATATATTTTTTTTTAAAATGGTAACAACATATAAGGAATTGCCAAGACTAATTTCTTAAATTGTTTTTGTAATTTTTTCTATTATAACCCATGACTCGGCATAAATTTAAAATATTTTTTTTTTTTTTTTTAACATTTTACAACTATATAAAAACTAAATATATAAAAATGTCGCGTTTGTTTGTACCACCACCACCACCACCTTAGCCACGACACAATTATAAAATTATTACATTAATGTCTCATGTTTTTTTTGTTGTATTGTACAATTAAGGTGATTTTTCTTTCTTTTTTTTTTTTTTTTTGTATACATATATAGAAATTTTTATTGTAAAGGGAAGTGGAGAGGGGAGGGGGGGAGGGGAATGGGGTTGATACTTTATGAAAAATTACAAAAGCATCATACTAACATTTTTCACATGCATTTTCCTTATTAATGGATTTATTATGATTTGAGTAAAATTAATTGATTGTTTTTGTTCAAAAGGACCAACTCATGGAAAGGATAAAGCTTTAAAAAGAAAAAAAACTGGTACAAATCTTGATTTAAGAATTGAAGAAGCTTCATTGACATTATATGATCCAACATTAAGAGATACATTTAATGCTGAAGAAGATTGTGGCATTGGTTTGTGGAATGTTGGAGTTGCCAAAGACCTTTCACCAACTTATGGTTGTTCCATACTTGGTATTAGTCTACCAAGTACCGAATATGATTTAATTAAACTAGAAATTGATGGAAAAGTAATTTTTTCTTTTTTTTTTTTAACTTTCATTTTGTACATTAAAATCAAAAAAAAAAAAAAAGAAAATAACTATGATTTGATACATTACTTTTTGTTTTCCTTTTAGGGTACTCCATTATTGTATTTGGGATTTCAAGACACTGACGGAAAGAAAAGAAATCATAATGAAAGACCAACATCATATCAAGCTCCATTAGCTCAATGCAGCGTTTTTCCACAGCAAAATATATTCAATAATAATTTAGAATCATATCCAAATTCAGAAATATCATCAATTTCTTCTGCTTCTTTCTTCTCTTATAATTTGATCACATTAGTTTTGTTTTCTTATTTCAATTTGATATCTTTGTAAAAAAGAAAAATGTTCAATCGAACAAATTTTTATTTATCATTTTGTATTATTTGAATTTTGTAAGTTTTTGTATAAATTAGATAAATAAATAATACATTTCATGTTTTATCCGGTGATGTGAACGAAATAATCATTTCGCTCGGATAAGGGAGAAATTTCCAGTGAATTTTGTACATAATTATTATATATTTTTAAATAATTAGCAAATTTATTATATTAGTGTTTAAAAAAAAAAAAACCGTTAAGCGCGATTTAATTACAATTTAAGTTCGTTGTACAATTGTTTAAAAAAACATTAATTATAAGTTAAAACTAGTTAAATAAATTGATATTGAAATAAAAAAAACCGTTTATTTTTTTTCCTATCGGAAATAATAAAACCTTGTTATTCCCGAAATAAAATAATTTTAATTTTTTTTAAATAAAATTTAAAAGAAAAAAAAAACGAAGCAGTTTTTAACGACTCTCGAACAAAACTGACTTGTAGCGACATCACGCGGTTTAATTTATAAACACGATATTTTAGTACGTAAAAGAAATAAATACATGGCGTTAATGACGCAATTTTATAAAAATTATTGACGTCATAAATGTATTCGAATAAATATGAATGTCGTCACAACCGTTTGATTTCCAAATCATAAAAAAAAAAACGTTTTTCACGATTAAAAATTAAAAATTATCAATAATTTAAATAAATAATTAATTCAATTAATTAAAATTCACATTATTTTTTTAAAAATACCATTAAAAAATTCGAAAAAAAGGAAAAAAAAACGTTTTAAAAACTTTTTTATAGCATATTTAAAAGCATTAAATTTTTTTTCTTAAAAAAAAACTCCATCGAATTTAAATAAATGTGATTAACGATAAATTCTTAAACTTAAATTTATTTATTCTTTATTTATTATTCTAAGAATATATAAAAAAAAAAAAAGACTTAAAAAGTTATTCAAACAAAAAAAAGAAAAAAAATCCTTTTTGGGATAAATATCCACTCAAAGCTGCTGTAATTTCTAATTTATTTTATTCTATATAAAAATTAGTTTAAAAAAAAGAAAAAAGAATTTTTTTTAAAAAAAATTTTTAACGTAAGAAAACATTAAAAACACATTTGAATAACATGGAAAAAACAATTCTTTTTAAAAAACTTTTTACCATTATTCATTTTATCATTAGATGATTTATGTTAATATATGATTTTTATATTAATTTTTATTTCATTTTACATTTCAAATAAGAGACTAAATTTTCCTCATTTTTTTCTTCTTTCTTATTATTAAGTAGTTTTGTTGGATTAAAAAAAAAAAAAAAATGATTTCATAATTTTCATTTTTCCACCTAATCAATTTATTTTTTTAATTATTAAAATTTAATTAATAGTCGTACGTAATATTTTTAACTACGATAATAATAAAATAATAAACAAAAAAATGGCCACCGCAGCAAAACAACAACCATAGGAAGAATTTTTTGTTTTGTTTTTTTTTTTCGTGTTTATTTTTAAAAATGCAAAATAAAAATATTATTTAGGTTAAGTGGAAAATTTTCTTAGAATATTAAAAAAGAATAGAGAGAGAGAGAGAGAGAGAGAGAGAGAGAGTAAATAAAAAAAAAAAAAAAAAATAATAATGATAAAAAAAACTATCTAAACCAACGTGAAAATTAAATTTGGCGTATTGCAAACAACTGGGAGGAAAAAATTTTATTTTTTTAAATAAAATAATAAATAATTAATACATAAAAAAAACTATTAATACCGTTAATAAATTAAAGCCATTTTGTAAATAATATTATCATCATTAATAAAAACAATTTTTTTTTAAAAATTCGATTTGGATTCGAACGTGTGAAATTTAATTTTGGAAAATTTAAAAAAAAAAATTATTTTCGTTTTATTTGTTTTTACTTCACTTTTTAGTTGATTCGTTTTATTTTTAAAATAGCAGTAGATAAATAAAATTTAATAAAAAATAAAATTATCGAAATAACGAAGGGGATTTACCCATAAAAAAAAAAGAAAAAAAAACAAAAAAAACACACGAGAGTGATAATAGCTTTCCACTCACCCCCCCACATTTTTACAAAAAAATGATTAAAATTAACCGTCGCAAAAAAGAAAAGAAAATTTAATGGCGTCAATTAATTTTTAAAATATCTTTTGTATATAATAAGAAAATGTGAAAAGGAAAAAAAAAAAAAAAGTTAAAACGAATTTTCATCTTTTTCTTTTCCAGAATGAAAAGCAATAAAAAATAAAAGTGGAAAATTTTCTTTTTTTTTTTTTTTTTTTATTTCTTTTCTTTTTTTTTTATTTTGCGGTCGTTCATTTGGAGTTAGAGGTAAAAAGTAGATATGAAGATTGAGAAAAGAAAAAAAAAAAAAGAGAATATGGAGGGAGATTTCTAGAATAAAAAAAAAAAAAAACCAATAATGTTGATTAATTGTATTTTCTTTTGAGAAAAATAACCATTTATCTCATAAATGAATCCCCAGATGCGGGTTAAAATGGACGTTAGAAAAAGTAATTTTCCTGTAATTCACGATTTGGTTGATCGAATTCGAAGCAAATCGTTTTTTTTTTTTTCTTTTTCTTTCTATCCAAAACCTAAAACCAGAATCAAAACCGCAAATAAAAATAATATGAACAAAAAAAAAAATAAAAATAAAATGAAAATTGTACTAGACGGAAAATATGTTCAAAAAAAAAAAAAAAAGAAAAGTACTTAATAAAAAAAAATAAATTCTGGAGTTGATTAATAGAAAACAACAATAAATAAAATGGCGGATTTGTTATTAAATAAAAAAAAAAATTTTTTTTGAAATTTATTCTTTGTTTTGTTATTTATTTATTTTTTGTTGTTTGGAAAAATCTTATCATGTTTTTAACGATTTTTCATAGAGTAATTAAATGATGATATTCATTCGTTTTATGATTCTATGAGAATTCCCATAAGTTTTTATATTTGAATTTGAATTAAAATTTTTATAAATATTATCGATTTATATTTAACTTATGAAAATTTAAAAAAAAAAAATTAAATATAAAAATTTTAGACAAAAAAAATGATGTGAATTTTAAATTTCGTTCACGAAATACTAAAAAATAATAAAAAAAATTTTTTTTTATTTATTATTTTATACGAATTTCATGTTTTATCAGCATTTTATTTATTTATTTTTTTTATTTTTAATAACTTATACGCTTTTTCTACTAATAATAAAAAAAAATAAAAATAAAAAATTTTTTTTAAATTTATTTTTATAGTTGTCGTTTTAAAAGGTGCGCGATTATTAATTTTTTTTTTTCGTTTGGTTTATAATAATAATAACGATATCAAATGATTTAAATCGAACGTAACGAAAAATTAACAAATTATTTTAACGAAAGTTTTCACGAAAAAAAAAAAAAAATCGAAAAATGGAATTTATGATCTTAAAACAAAAAAATGAATAACGAATTTATTGCGATGAACCACGCCCTGAATTTAAATAAAAAATTATTGTTTTTGTATACGTGAATGTATCACATTTTGCATAATTATTAATTATCGGGCGCGAAAATTATTAATTATTATTTTATTTATTACTTTTTTCTCTCTCTCCCTCCTTTTCTATACTCAATCGAGCAAGAAAATTATTTTTATTAAATTAATAATAATTGTGTATAGTTTTTTTAATAATTAATAAAAATTATTAAACTATTTTGTAATTATTTACTATTAATTTACTTTTTTGTTAAAAGAAATTCGTACTATTAAAATCAATGTATAAATTTTTATGCGATATTAATTTGAATTTCGTTACGAAAAAGCAGACGAAATTTAATTTAAAAATGTTATCATTTTAAAAAACACTTCATTAATAAAAGCCACGCTGTTAATTGATTGATTTTTCTTAATTATAAACGAAAATTTATTAAAAATTTTAAATTTTTTTCTTTTTTCATTCATCGAAAACGTTGAAAGATTAAAAAACTTTTTTTCTTTTTTTTTTTTTTAAGTAATTACACAGACGAACGATTTCGTTACATTTGCCATGAGAAACTTTTTAAAAAAAAACAACCAGATGTTTTATGATTTTTTTTTTAATAAAAAACAAAAAAAAAATTTTTTTTTATTCTTTCTCTTTTGCAAAACTATAATTCCTATTAAATAAAAAAAAAAAAAAAAGAGAAAAAAAATCGAAGAATAACCCTTATAAAAATTACATCCCTTTAAATAAGGGGGGATATCGTTTTGTATTTTTTTTTTTTACCTAAAGGCATAAACGTGACGTAAAATTTAAAAAAAAAAAATTTTTTTTTTTTCATCAATTAAATTCACGTTTAAATTTTTTTTTCCAGGTTCTCGTTTTGAAATGTGTATTATATATATATATATAAAAATTTTTCTTTTTATTATTTTTCTTAAAAGCACGCCCCCCCCCTGTATTCTCCCCCTGCCTCCCTCCTCATCAAAAAATTACCTCCTTCCCGTTATCGCCATCAAAAAAGAAAAAAAAAAGTTTAAATACATGTTTGAATTATAAAACAGGTTAGCCTTTTAAAGTTAAAATTCCACCCCCACAGCCCCCCACCCCTCTACCTCCCTCCCCCTTCCACCTCGTCAAAAATTATTATATGAATTTCAACTGGATCAAACTTTTCTTCTTCTTCTTCTTCCACGAGCTCAATGAAATGGCACGAAGCTTTTAAAAAAAAAAAATTTTCTTTTTTATAAAAAACGAATAAAATTTCAAGTATTAGAAAAGAAGCACTCCCCAGAATAAAAGGGGAGTAAAAGGGAGCCCGCATGAAAAATAAAATAAAAAGAAAAAAATTTTTTTTTTATAAGATGAAGTAGGGAGGCTGTAATAGGAAATGAAAAAAAAAATAATAATAATAATAATTTTTCAGATTAATGTGAGGTCAATCAACCGTTTCTTGGCTCTTTTCTTAACAAAAAAGTTTTTTTTATTTTATTTTATTTTTTTATTCCTTTTTCATTTCTTTTTCCTTT